AAGGGTAATTATTTTACCCCCTGCAGACCATCTCACAGATTTTCACTGTTACTGTTTTTATTTGATGTAACTGTTGAACTCAGTAAAGGTCTACCAAAATTTTCCAACCAGAGCAACATCTTTGTATAATATTGGACATGATAATGGTAGGCTCCCTTGAACTGCTGAATGACTACTTTGAGGATGTTTTACTAGTGAAGAACAAATGGCTCTTCACAATGTTATAACAGAGTTAGAGGCCATGTAATTAGGTATAATACTTCTCTAATCCAATCTATATGTGGTAGCACTAAGAAAGAGCTAGTACTTTGTAGGATGCTGTATTTAATGCGTCTTTTGTTTGATCAAGCTAACTTTCATTATATTTCACTCCAGGCCATTAAATTTAAGAATTATTTTTCAACACAGGAAAACAGGGCAAAAGAAATAGTAAACTAGATTAACTAGTTTTGTGGCACTCTGAAATGTCATTAGTCTTTATTCATTACTTTGTGGGCAATGAGAAATGCATTAGAACTAATTTGTCTTTGAAAAACAGTAATTAAGGTTATTTTCTGTAACAGTTTGATTGACTCAACCAAAGAACTATGATATCCTTTACAATCTATGTCAGATATTTTAAAATTAAAATTACCTAACTGCTTAATTTTTCAGTGTTTGAATATTGCTAAGGAGAATTAGAATAAGTATGCCTTATAGTTTGGGTTCATTCCCATTTCTGAGTATTGCTGGCAATAAAAATCATATCTGTAATGAATAGTAGTGTGATTTGCTGACATATGATAGCTATTGATTCCTTACATTTGAATACTATAGGAAGTTGTAAACAGTACAATAACTCAGATTACATAGTTAAAAACTATGTGAATTAGATATGTAACATTCAGAATATATGCCAAACATTTATTCATTCCTTGCTGTGAATTTTAGTTTGGGTCTTGGACTGAATTTAAAATCTGTATGTACATTTCTTTTAATTTTAAACATGAAGCACAATAGTTTATTACCAAAGAACAATAATCTACAACAGATTACATATCTATGTCTTCTAATTTATGTAGTCAGTTGGAATCAGTATGAAAAAATCCACTTTTTATAGTCTTTCTAATTAATAAACATAGGTATGGAAGGGAAATGCTGTTCCCCTTGCTTTTTTTAGTTCTGCAGTTTTCTAAACTTTTGTTTGAAAACCCTGTACAGAATTGCTAAGGCCCTCCTTTCTATGAAGCCCTCTGGAACCTTGTGTATTGGTCCTGCCTTTACTTTGGGAATGTGGTTGGTAGTTCCTGCTGCTGCCACTTAAATTTCAGGAGGCTTCACCTGATGTCCACCCTGTAATCTTAATGGATAAAAAAAATTAAGGTTCTCATACACAGAGCTGCCTCTTAAGGAGATTAAAAATTCAAAATAAAATAATGTCAATGTATCTGCTTCTGACTATGTGACATCAAACCTCTTTAAAAAACCTCCTGAATTACTCCACCCCTTGGGACTTTAATTATAAAAAATTAAATATTCAGTGGAGAGGAAGATAAATTACAGAGTTTAGCAGATCACAGTATATAGCAACTCAGAAATTACAGCGGAGACAAGAAAAGAGCAGCCGGTAGAGAGCTGAATCTGCTAATCTACCTGGAATATTATAGATCACAAGAAGAGGGTTCAGAACATTACAAGAAGATTCTGAAAAAAAATTATAACTTCTTACATTGTATTACCTGTAATATGGATGAAATTTAAATTATATACTCCTTAATGTATGTAGAAAATTTAAATACAAAGAGACTTGGTATAATGTTGAAAACAAAAATAAAATAAAAAACATAGCAAAATTTCTGGACTTTCTGAACAATGACCTTTTCCTTTAGGGTTCTCGGACTAATCCAGGAATCTTCTTGGAGGTTCCATGCTTTCATCAGAGGATCTAACATCGAAAGCCTCTGTTCAACCTCTTTCCAGAATTTTCTCTTTTGTTTTAAACATATCAAACGTTTTTTTTTTCCTCTCCAGCAGAGGGTGAGGCTGCATAATCTGAGACAGTCTTTGATAAACAACTGTATTTCATGGGAATATGGTTGAGCCTTCAATCTTATATTCAGGAACATTTATAACACCCCTATAAAATGGGTTCACCGACAAAAGGGCGAACAACAAAACCGCGCCCGACTAAACTGCGGTGACAAAACCGTGTGTTCTAAAGCATTCCAACGAATGATCGCTGAATCGCGCAGACAACAGCGTGACGACAGAAGCACGCTGTAAAACTAAACCTAACCCTAAACCTAACCCTAAACGTAACCCTAACCCTAACCCTAAACGTAACGCTAACCATAACCCTAAACAAAACCCTAAACCTAAACCTAACCCTTACCTTAAGTTAAATCGGCTTTCTGTTGACACACTGTTGTAAAGCGCCCTTCTGTCTCTGTGCTGTTGTCGCTGCGCTGTTGTCGCCGTGTTGATGTTGCGGTTTTAGCGACGCGGTTTAGTCAGGCGCGGTTTTGTCATTCGCCCTTTTGTCGGGTCACGCTATAAAATGTTTACCATCTTGCCAACTGATTCTTGTTTCCCTTAGAAGATACCACTTATATTAACTTACTTTCATAATCGCTTCAGTTCTCCATTTCTTTATAAGTGCCTGTATGAGGATTTGAAATACTTAACCCTCATGTTTGTTGGAACAATTTAGATGAAGGTTAAAACGCTAAATGGCTTTCTGGTACAAAGAGAACAGAATTTGGCAATCCTGCATCTTTCTTCCTTTTAAGCAGCATAAAAGCAGCTCTCTGCAAGTGACTAATGTAATTGGCAAAACTGCAGAATGGCCTCCAGGTTGAATAAGAAAAGAAGGAAATACTGCACATTTTTCATCAAAGAAAAGGGATGAAAATTGAGTTAATACAGACAATAGTATTTGCTGCTCTTATGCAGATATTTGGGTAAATTTCTGTAACTAAATAAAAAGTTCTTTAAAATCATCTGGTTTGATTAAAAAAAATCTCTGAAGTTGCATTGAAAGTATTGAAATCTTACTGAATGCAAGGACTAGGTTAAACATCCATAGTTTTCTGAATAAAACTAACCTTTTNCGGTAGATTTGACGAACCGGTTCTACCGAATAGGTGCGAACTGGTAGGAACACACCTCTGGTTATATCCTAGTCTTCATGAATGCACATGGCTGCTCTTAGAATATTTTGCTGAAGGAATATATCTGCAAATGTAACTTTGGTTTCTTTGTGTTCATATACGTTCTTCAGAACTATTTCTGTATTCAAGTTAAATTTGAAACATTATCCTTTAAAAAAAATGGGTTATATGCTTCTGTCTTACATTGCATCTGTGTAGAGAGTCACTTTGGCCTAGTGATTAAGGCACCAGGTTAGAAAGCAGGAGACTGAGTTCAAATTCCCCCTTAAGCATGAAAGCCATCTGGTAGCCTTTGGGCCAGTCACTCTCCTTCAGCCCAACCCACCTCACAGGACTGTTGTTGAGGGGAAATAGGAGGAGGAAAAAGTATGTTAGATATGTTCACCACCTTATTTGTAAAAGTAATGAAGGTGTGATACAAATAAATAAAATAAAAACGAGGAAAGCAGGATCAATAAGCTATTGAGATCAAGGAAAGGGTATTTTAATTAGTACAGATACCCTAGTCCTCGACTTACGACCAGTTGTTTAACAGCTGTTCAGTTACGTGGGCTTTTAAAGCGCTACTTACCGGTTTGTTCCATCTGAAAGTTACAACTGCCCCATCCCACGGTCATGTGATCATGTGTTGGGTAACTAGCTTGCATTTATGACTGATTGCAGTGTACTTTCATCATGTGACTGGTTTGTGGATCATAAAAAACATTTTAAAAGAGCAATAATCTATTAAAAGAGTGGGGGAAGGGCATGTTACAAATTATGATTGAAATCCCAGGTTGTATTGTGATTGTAAGTCAATGCCTATCCATAACATACAAAACTTGGGTCTTCCAAGCAAAATATTAAAGTGCATCTTCAACATCACTGGACTTTAATAGAAGCTGGCACATCATTTCATATAGCGTATCTAACTAAATATCCTATATTGACAATAGCCCTTATAGGTTTTATATGGCCCTAGCCTGTTCATCTGATTGCAGGGGTGTCAGACTCGATTTCATTGAGGGCTGCATCCAGGTTGTGTTTGACCTCAGAGAGTTGGGTTGGGTGTGGCCAGGTGGGCATGGCTAGTATGACGTTATTCATTCGGGGGTGCCTGTGGTGGGCCAAATGCTCTGCCAGTGAAAACGAACTCCCGAGCTCTGTTTTTGGCTGCGACAGTCACCTGAAACCCTCTGCCAGCAAAAACAGAGCTCAGAAGGGCCACCCGCGCCCATCCTCAGCTCCATTTTCACTAGCAGAGGTACCCCAGGCCAGCCCTGTGCTGTTTCCAGGGCGGCCCCATGGGCCAGATCTAAGCACCCCTCAGGCCGGATTCTGCCCCCGGGCCTTGAGTTTGACACCCCTGCCCTAAAGTTTTAAATTTGTAATATTAGCATCTTAAAATGTTCTATCCACTGCATGAAATAAAAGCCACTTGAATGTTTTGATGCATTTGTTAAAGTAAAAAACTAAAATATAATCTACTTCATTATACATGAATCACACAGGCAGGCGACATGATAACAGTTATAGATTTTCAAGACCTAAATTTACAAAAATATTTATTTATTTATTTATATAGCTGTCCATTTCAACCAGTAACTCTTCCTATTAATATTAAGACAGAAACTGTCTCTATTATTGCTATTCTCTGTAATGATACAAGACTTGAAATAAATTGTTGATTTATTCCATCAATTCAACCTGTTAATAATAGAAAAGCACTAGGCATTAAGTTACTCTTTTCAATAATACTGCATAATAATGCATAGCAAATAATATTAACTTATTTTACTCTGTGTGTTTCATTGTTTTATGCTGGATCTGACTTCTGGTGATCTGAACTTTTGAAAAATACATCAAATACAGTTTACGCGATTTCTCTGTGATTCACCACTTGAGGTATGAAATTACTTTTAACACTATATCTTTGTATTATTTAAATACAACATACCGTTTCTTTTCAGTATTTAAAGTTTGCTACTATATTTATAATACAGAAAATGTTCTCAGTTCCACTAATTTAGCATTGAATTATTTTTGTTATTGTTGATTTAATTCTTTGAGTTTCAATTGAAAAGGATTGATGAGTTTTATATTTTTGTTTATTTTATGAATACATTACTTAAGGTTGACGTACGCATTCTTTAGCTTGATATTTCTATCTATCTGTAAACTGTTGATGAGCTTTTTGTTTCTTAATAGATTTTCATATGCGGAGATCTATTAAGCAACATGTTTTAACTAAAATATTGATATCTGTCTATTTAATTTATATGTCATCCATCTTAGTGCCAAAGGACTCTGGGCAGTTTACAAATACAGGCTAGTGATATGTTAATCTGACTTCAAAGTAAAGCAACATTATTATTTTTTTGGGACAATAGGTGATATAGATGATTACTAGGAACTGTAAACTGAATTCTGTGGCATGTGTAAGTGAGGGAATGTCAAAATGAGTATTCCATTGGTGCAATATGAATTTAGCCCCCTTTGCATTTATATCTTGAAATCACATACACATACATAAAAAGTGAAGCTTGTACTGTGATATTATCAGACTCTGCAGATTCCTCTGACTGAGGGATCTGATCAATGCATGTTCAATAAATTGTATCTACTTGGAGATACAATTCGAAATAATCATAAGATAATAATGTAACTTCATGCAGCAGGATGACAACGTAACCATGATATATTGGAAGATCTGCAAGAAATAAGATATGCCTGAAGCAAGAATTGATGGGACCAAACCAGAGTAATACAAATGTAGAAACCAAAGTGCGCTGGGACTTTAGCATTCAAACAGATAAGCACTACTACTACATAACACTCCAGACTTAATAGTTGTTGTGAAGAAAGACAAAAAAGTCTGGATAGTGGACATTGCAATACTTGGAGACAGTAAAAGAGAAGAGAAAGAACTGGAGAAAATCACAAAATACAAAGATCTGTAAATTTAAGTAGAATGACAGTGGCAAAATAAAGCAAAAAGAGTATATANTAGAGAGGGCTGAAAGCCTTATGAAGCGGTATATAAGTCTAACTGCTATTGCTATTGCTATTTACATCCTTAAGCAGATTAAAGGAATTGAAGGATGTACAATAATTTCTCTGGTTTCCAATTGGTAGCATCTCCACTAACGTAACCCATTTACAGTATTCTATTTAGTATACTATTTTTGTTTTTCTTTTAAAAAAAAATTCTGGAATTATATATCTTCAATCTACCCCTTTCAGCATCTGTAAATATAATCCTTTATCAACTCAATGTTGCTATCACAAAGTTTTTAAAATATTTTTTGACTGATTTCTGTGTTAGCAAATGGATATGTGGATTAGACTGAATTTTTAAAAGTAAATGATCTGAGTAAGGCAAGATTGTAATGTAATACTGAACAAACGTCATATTAATTGTGATAAGTTTATTTCACATTTAACTATATTTTATGTGTGGAGTTGTTTTTAACAATAATTCATTGTACAACTGCATAGATTTCCATTTCCAGCAGATCAGATTTGATAACTTGTCACAACCACATTCTGAGCTCTTGTACTCATTGCATGGTAGACTAAAAGTGTAAAAGAAAACTTAATCAAGGAGAGCAGGGGGTTGGACTAGAAGACCTCCAAGGTCTCTTCCAACTCTGTTATTCTGTTATATCTGTTATAATTGTTACAGACTAGAAATGGCCTCGAAGAGAGTAGGCTGAATATTTTTGTCTGCCACTTTCAAGCTTCCATTCACGTGTGTAGACTAGGAGCCATCTGACAACTTGAATTATTCATGCTTTAAAAAGAACTTACCACTTAAAATATTTGAGGTTTTTGAAACAGGAGCTTGGAAAATACCAGAATGTACCAGAAATCTGATTTGCATGTTAAAGAAGTAGGAATATAGTCAAAGCTGGCTATTTAGAATTATACAAAGGATTTTCTTCTCTTCCCCTGCAAATTTCTCCTTTTTTTCTTTAGTTGATTATATAAATTAAGACGTTAATGTTAACCAAAGATTAAAGATGGTTTAATCCTTAAAGATAGGCCTGAGAAACAACACAGATACCTGGGGGGAAAGAGAAAAAGGTTTCCTATCGATTTCACCTATCATTTTAAACAAATGCTGCTCAATAAGATTTTACAACAGGGAGCATAAAGGCTTGTGTCATATCCAGTTGTTCTGAAGAATTGAATTAGTTGGTCCTCTAAGCACTACATATTCGAAATAAACAAAATGTTTATATACTCTTAACAGAGATTGACAGAATGGTACCAATGCCATAATAATCTCAGGATTCCTACATGGGGGTCATAGGAATCTTTTGGTAAACAAACCAACACCACTGCCAGTATAGAAGTAGGTTTTTAGTGACGTGTTGCCAAACTCCCTCTTTCAAATAGCTGTTGGCCTCTGTCTTAATCACAAGTATGTATCTATGCATATGCATTTCTATAAAAGTCTATTCTGAAATATTTCACTAGAATAAATGTATTACTAGCTTTCCCAAAAAAAATGATCAGCAAAAATATCTGTTCTCGTTCCTGATATTTTGAAACAATAAAAACATCCTAAGCCATCAAAATAGAAATATTAGACACAGGTTTTTTTTGGTTGTTGTTCTAGGGCCAAGTTTAAGTGTGGCCGGGCTTTCCAAAAATATAAGTTCTGGAATGTTGAATGTGAAGCCAGATACTGAAGCTCTTTTGCTCCTTGACATGTGAAAATAAATTATATGTAAAAAGAGGCTGTAGGGTCGTACTGGCCCTTGTACTTAAGGCTGCCTAGCACTGTTTCCTAGCATCACTGTATAAAGTCGGGATGGTGAACCTCTGGCATGCATGCCACAGGTGGCACGTGAAGCCATTTGTCAGGGCATACAAGGCGTTCAGCCTTTTTTAAAGCCATTTTTTGCCATCCCCAGGCTCCAGAGGCTTTATGGGAGCCTAGGGAGGGTGAAAAGAGCCTCCTCCGCCCCTACCCCAGGCTCTCAGGAGGCTTCAGGAGCTTCTCTGAAGCCCCCGGAGCGCAAAAAACCAGCCCTATGGGCAAACCGGAAGTTCAGGAACAGACTTCCGGTTTGCTCGTAGGGTGGGTTTAAGCCCTCCGGAGGCTTCAGGGACCTTCTGAAGCCTCCGGAGGACTAAAAATGACCCTACGAGCAAACCGCAAGTGACTTTCTGCGCACGACCCCCCCCTGCGCTCCCTCCCCCTTATGGCATGCACGCCAAAAAAAGGTTTGCCATTGCCGGTATAAGGTATGGGCATCCACAAAGAAGATCCAATGCATGCAAACTCTCCCTGCACTCTGGAACCTTGGCCAAATAGTTGGGTTTTTTTCCCCCCACTTCCTACTTCAACACTGCTTTATCCTGTGTGATGCTCTCTAAACAGAGTTTGTGAAAACAGAGTAGCTGAATTTAGTTGCAAAGACCTCTCTTGGGGTGGATAACGCATATCTCTGTTTATGTAATTAAATAAGGGGGCAAGGGTCTGCTGTTATATCGGGCTGATGGGATTCTGCTGGTGTCCTCTTTCGAGGAAAAGGCTGAATTTAATAAATCTTTGGATTGGCTCACGTTTTCTCATGCCTTTGCCTTAATATATTGCTGTTGATAATTTTAGGGTATTTTGTTTATGTAATGTTAAAATTCCTTTACAAAGCAGCTGTCTGGAAACTGAGACGAAGGCCTTAATTCACTTTTAATAAAAGATCAATGGGTTTATTGTGGAAAAATAGAACACAGATGTACACTGTACCTGATAAAAGAATTAAATGTGTGTTTAACCTTCTTTATTTGTTCTGTGCTACTGGTACTCGACCTCCTTTGTTTTTTTGTAACTATTATCTTTCTCTGGAGCTTTTTACTTTTCATATTTGGCTTAGTCTGTAAAAACAAACCCCACTAACATACCCTCATCTCAAATGCTCACCAAATCCCTTAGAGTTTCCAAAATATTTTAAAAGTAAATCTTCAGACTTAAAGTTTTATTAAAATCTTTGGCCTTGCCTTGGAACAGAAGTCCAGAGATGCTTTTAGCGCAGGAACTAGAAAGGTTTGCAAAGTGAGAATACTTCAATTAAAGACTCCTTAAGGCAGAACTGCCAAGTTTGCCTCCAGAAGTTTCCAATTAAATATCTAGCCATGCCTGAATGAATGTCATATGTAAGGTTTTTCTTTCAGTGTATCTTTTACAAGAGGGAAACTAGCGACAAGAAAGATTGGTTGAATGCCTTTTTGGCTGAAGACTAAAAAAGGAGAAATAAAGGAGAGACAAAATAATTACTCGAGTTGAAATTTGCCTGTAGAATAAATCCGAGTGAGATATTCTCCCTCTTCATCAGGAATATTTTGTCTTCTTTGCCCCCTCATAGTGGAATGTGTGGGATGAAACAAAAAAATGATGCAAGTGTTTTGCATACTTCAAAAGAGCCATGTGGAAAGAGATATTTAATAAACAGTAAGATGCACACATTATGGCAGATAATTGTGGAGACAGGGTGTTCTGTTTCCATTCTGCTGCTTGGGCACACGATAAGCTGTTCCTTCTGCCAAAAGCATAATTGTGATTTGGTGCAACACTGTGATTTTCTCTAAGTGAACGCATATGGACCGAGTGGCACATAAAAGAGGAATTTTATGATTGTCATCACAAATTGAAACCGTGGCAATGGGCCTTCAATGTAACATGACTTCATTTCCTAACATGAGAGAGAAGAATAGCTTAGCTCAGGTCAGCTAGGCTTCTAAAAAGAGCCGAGGTGGCGTAAAACAGAGCCGAGGTGGCGCAGTGGTTAAATGCAGCACTGCAGGCTACTTCAGCTGACTGCAGTTCGGCAGTTCGGCTGTTCAAATCTCACCGGCTCA